AGATTTGGTATAATCTTACTACTTGAACTCATCATTGACAAGGCATTATTAATATAGTTTATACTAAATGTTTTGAAATATCTTGTTTTGTCAGTGTCAGAAGAAAACTTTTCTTGCATGCATTAATTTGATCTGACATTATGCAAGTTTACTTTACCACCGTGACAACACTATGTGCTTCGTACATTTTTTCACTTCCAAAGTGAGTTGCATAGCAGAACCATCGATGTATAGCAGAACTGGCAAATATTATTCATATCACAAGTGAATGTGTATCTGGATGGGTGTCTGTTAGACCAGGCCTCTCTATTTCTACTCTCCTCATAGTCATAAGTTATGTTATTATTAATTGTCTCATCCTCCCGTTTTCAATATTTCTTCTTTGAACTTGAGGCATTTTCTGTTCTTCCTACAAAACTGATTACCGGTTTAACTTGGTCTTAACCTACTGAATATTACAAACATTAATATTTACTCCCAAAAAGCTAATGAGTTTCTTTTTATAAACAGGTGTTTTTGGTTTTTAAATTTTTCCTATGTATTTCTTATGGGAAAACCCGACCTTCGAGAGGGTCTGACGCCCTTCAGAGTAGGAATTTTAAAATTCTAAAACCTTATTGCAAAACTACATATTGAGACGAATCTTTTGACACCTTAAACATTAAAATTGGTCTACAAATAAGGGAGGAGTTGCGTTAACAAAAAACGGCTTCACGTATTATATAGAAAGAATAGATATTAATCGGTACTTATTTAATAAGCAAGCAGGTTTTTTGTGACAATTACTCCTCCGAAACTACTGAACCGATTGAAATGTTTTTGGTGTCATTGGAAAGAGCGTAACATGAAGTTGTGCAGGAAACTTTCTTTTTAGGGAAATAATTAGAGAGTGAGGCCCTGGGGCCCTTTAAAGTTTTGTATTTCTCCATAAGATTAACATGGGAAACAAAAATTGTTATGAAACTCCACCTCTTGTCAGAAATTAAAAGTGAGAAGAAGAACATATGTTAATTGTAAACAGTCAATAAGTTTGCTAATTTAACAGTTTGCTACAAACATTTAATGACTTGGTTGAAATTAAATATTTGCTATTTGAATTTGGGTTGGCGTAAATATTACAACGGAAAAGAGCGAGAGAGCCTGGATAAATTGATATACTAAAAAGTAAAAAGAAAACTGAATTAACACTGTGCTGCATTTCTTAGTAATCATTGAAAGAGCCGATGTGCAAACTATGGAAACATAGGAAAGTCATAGCATACCATCAAGGAAAAGAAATATAAATCATGTTTTTTAGCAAAGTTCCCTATAGGGAAGTAGCTATTACCGTAGGTGGCATGGTAAGACCTAGGCCCGGGACCGATTTACTTTTTCATTTTGATGTCCCCAGAGGCCAAAAACACCATTTGTTCTAATTTTTATATATGTATGTATATATATAGATAGATTTATATATATATATGTGTGTCCGTGAACGCGATAACTTGAGTAATTTTTGTCCGATTTTGATGAAATTTGGTTTAAAGATGTAAAGCGGGATAAACTTGAATGAGTTCACGAACCAGCATGATCGGACTATGGGAACAGGGGTTTATGGGGGGTTCAATGGGGTAAAAATAGGTTTTCCCCATTTTTGACCCTAAAAACACGAACTTTTACAATTTATTTCTAAACCTTTTTGTAGAGCTTAAAAAAACAAATAATTTAGTATATAGAAGCGTTATTATGCGCCTAATGGTTACGGAGAAAATTTAAAAAAATTTTAATTTTAAAATTCCCATGTTATTCTTATGGAGAATAAGTCAACTGTTGTAGTTTGCTTGTTTATGAACATATTTTGATCAAATTTGGAAAACACATAAATTTCTTACTAAACTATAGTACCTATTAACATTTTACATTAAAAAACACTTCTTTACCCTCCCTACTGCAGCAAACCTAAGTACTCGTTAAACTAATCTATAATATTAAAACGAAACAGTGTTTTTTTATTTCACGATTCTGAATCAACCACTCGACGGATCTTCATGATTTTTGTGTTGAAAGAAAGATAATTTTGAGGACTAGGGAATGTCGAAGCCATAATTTTAGTTTAGGGTCCCAGTTAAGTTTAATTTTAAAATTAAAATTAATTGTTAAAATTAAGTTTTAATTTTTAAAAAGTCTAGCAGCCGACGCTATGATTCTAAACTAGCGTTTGGCATAAAATAATTTGCTTAACATAACAGCTGTAAACATTCAGCTTTTGTGTCACAAATTCAGCATTTGGATAAAAATGTAAAGACATACTTAGGGTTGACTTATTTATACTATGTGTAATGCTAATGATTGATACGTTCAATTCTTCTGTAAGAGGATGACAGATTAATTTAATATACATAGTAAAATACTAGGATGTTCAAATTATTTTTTAAAGCAATCTTTGTAATCTTCGATTTGTTTTAGAGCAATATAATTTGTTTTAACTAACAGCTGGTTAGTTATAAAAAAGCCCTATAGAACTATGAGGTTATTTACTCTGATTTTGTCATTGATTATAGGAAATAGGCCTAAGTAAGATTAGTAGACCACCGAGATAAGTAATACCATCGATGTGTACAAGTCGAGGCTCTGTACACAAGTTAAATAAAAAAGATATGTAAATTATTTTACTGCTTAAAATTGTTGGAAAGGGTAGGAAAATCACAATTTTTACATGTTTTAATTCATCTTGGCAGCTTTTTGTTTACAATCAATGTTTTTGAATGCTTGAACTTTGTTTGGATTGGGCCCGGAAATATTGATGTCATAAAGATAGAGATCAAGAATCCTCAGGATTAAATTACCACCACATCCTCAGACGGGTGTTATCCAAAGATATACAGATGAATGACATAGATTGAACACAACGTCATCATTGACCTAGGATACTGCAATTAGACTAACCATCCTTTTATGAAATCTAAAAAAGTAATTGTTTGGCGTGTGTTTAGTTGTGGTTACGTTTGTAGGTGCTGAATATTTTATAGTTTATTTTATAGTTTTATAGTTATTATTTTATAGTTTTATAGTTTAAATTAATATGGGGAATTACGATGTACATTGATTCAATGAGGGTGGTTTAATTATCAAGGATATTGGAACTGATAACGGAATGGACAATAAACATAGACAATTAATTACGTCACTAGCTTTACTAGCGTTTTTACTTTTTAAATTCCTTCAACATGTGACCAGTTCTTTTGTTCAAATGAATATTATTTTTGACTCAGCTGTTTACAAAACAAACTAATATGTTGTTGTGTTTACTTTTCTTTGTTTACACTTATTTATTTAGCAATTTCACTGCATCAATTAATTGACATAAAGGATGTGTGTGGACAATTCGTTTAATGATGTCAGGACACCAACGTTATAATTATATGTGTACTGTGAATTTTATTGGATGTTTTCGTTTTATTTTTGTGAGTTTCAATTCAGACCTACTGGAAATGGTGTATAGTATGAGTAATTGTATTGTGTGGTGATATTGATTATGGAAGAGGTAGGTATATGCTATGGAAGGTGATATCATTGACTAAGCCTATACACTTCTCAATTGATAATTACTCTTTCTACTGTAGGCTGCAATAAAATTTGTCTTTATACGTGTAAACTAGCTGTTCATCTGAATTAAAGGCCTGACCGTTTTAACTGACTTCTCCCGTACGTAGGACGGGCTAACACCTCGTTCTATTTAAATAAGGAATAAATGTGATATTTTTAGTGTAAATCCAATCAGGCAAATGGAAATTCGCTAAGTCTGCAGGTTTGCTGCGGCGGGGGTATTTTATATTTATACTCGTTTTTATGGACAACCTAATGCGACTGAGTAAGGCTATTTGTAGAAAACACTAAAAAAACAAGAACAGCTTCTAAAAAGTGATAAGATATTTACAAGAAATGTTGATTATATCAATCTGTTATGTACATCTTTGAGTATTTCCATAATCTTTGAAAGCCATCAGAAATTATGACTGTTATTTGTTTTAAAATAACGCCTGTAATACTTAGCAATTGCTTGAATTCGAGCAACAGGGACACTAGTATCTAATTCAGTATTTTCTCACCACTATAAATTTGGAGATCACTTTGCCAATAACAGCTTATTGCCAATAACTTTTAAATGTATAGAAAATCGACCAAAGTGGATGTGATATTCTGAAAGAGAATAAAATTTACTACAAATAACTACTATGCATTTCTTGAAAATACCTAATAAAGGCAGCCAAAAGCTGGCTACAAATAGAAACTTGAAAACAGAAACTTGAAAAAAGCTGTTTTAAATGTATTTTTGTAATTTTTACTTTTTCACCACAAATATTTAATAAAATCACACTTTCATAATTATTTGCAAATCTACATGAATTAGGCTCTCCAATGGCCCATTAATTAACAAAATCGGCCCAGTAGAAGTCTGGATTTAGTTGTACAAAGTTAAACAAAAATATCCCTAACTTGGTATTTTCTCATTACTATAAATTCTGAGGTTGCTTAGCTTGTTTTGCAAATAACTTTTCATTGGTGATGAAATCAACCTAAGTGGAAGGTGATATTCTGAAAGACAATAAAATGTCCTACAAATTGATACCATGCACTTATTGGAAATACTCAAAAAAGGCAGCCAAAAGTTGCACCCAATTAAAAAGTGTTAAAAACGCCGTTTTCAATGAATTTCTTATGGATTTTTTTTTTTTCACCATAAATCATAAAAAAAACTAACTTTCATAATTATTTGCAAATCTACATGAATTAAGCTTTCCAACGACCCATTAATTAACAAAATCGGTCCAGTAGAACTCTAGATTTAGTTGTACAAAGATTTTGAAAACTGAATTATATAGAATAGATATGATTGTGGAAATGAATGTGGGTATAGAGAAATTGGATAAGTCTCAGGAAAAAGTGTGAATTTTTGGAAAAACTGTTAGTCTAAATTTATTTATTCCTTTTACTGATTGATTGAAGTTAGTTTCTAGTACCTTCCGCAAAGTAAGCCTTCTAAGAATGGATCGTCTACTCTGCACGGTCCCTGAGGCTGAGGTGTCATGGCCAGAATCACTGATGTCTGAGGCACTACTAGCTGCTGAACTGCCTCTTGACCTTGAGCGCCAGCTTTTTGCTTTTAAATCCTTCTTACTGAGACCATACACTATTTCAGCATCACTATAATACAGAAATAAGTATTCTCATTTTGCTTAATAGTAGTACGTGGTAAAATAATAATAACTATTTTGATATTAAATTGAACAATTAAAAATTATAATTATATTTATAACAAAAAAAGTTTATTGTCATACTACACAGTAAGCAGATGGTTACTGTACTCTTAATAGACCAGAAAGCCGTTTTGACCAAAAAGGACCAGTAAAGTCAGATGGAGTTCAGTAAATTCACCAATCACTCTTACACGACCAGTTTTTTTTTCAAAAAGGCACGGTATGATTTTCTTCAGTAAGCTCTCAACAAAGCCACACAATAAATATTAGATAGGGGTGGCCAGGTGCATTGCACTTTAACAATGAAATATTGGAAAGGTTAAAAACTACAGCGATGTATTTGTGTCTGTTAGTGTTACCTTTTAAAAACAGATGATGATTCTGTTAAAATGTGTCATGATGTCTTAATATTAACATTAATGCTTGGTAGATAGAAAGAGTGACAACATCATAATGTATTATCATGCAGGTTGTGTCAACTGTCCTAGCAACCCTAGTGAAACTTTATGCTTCTGATAGATTGGTATTTTCACTTCATTATTTGAACTTTGACTTTTATACAGTTAAAATTAGCGAGTTGTAACAAAGTGTAAGAAGAGTTGAAAAAATTAAACAATTATTTGATTTTATTAAGAGTCACTTTGCTGGTTCTGAGGTTTTTAGGATGGCTTCTGTTGGTGTAAGAGCCATTGCTCAAATGAAATAAACCTGAACAGCACAGTTCACAGAGATACTTAAACCTTACTTCAAAATGTCATCAAACTTGATTAAAATTATTAACCTGCGTTTAAAAGCATATCCCAGCTTTGGTTTTCGCTCAACTTGCACTGATGTAAAAGCAATCTCAAGTTTCTGTAAGTATGAAGCCCATAGTTGCAATACAATAATCTTCAGGGAGGGTTTGGCTCCGAGTTCAATCATTTCTTCAGTTATACCCTTTAGGATGTAATTCAGAACTTCCCAAGATGTCAATTTTTCATCCTGATCTATTTTACAAAACAATAAGAATAAACACCGCATATGTATTGGGACAATTTTATTTAGATATACAGTAGTTTTAAAGAAGTATAATATAACAAAACGGTAATATATTTAACTTATGATCAGCTATAAAACTAGGGGATGAAAACCATTGTCAAATATTTATTTTACCTTATTTCAGGAAACCTCCTCACTGAGTGAGCAAATTTTCTAGTAGCTACAGATAAATTTTAGGAGCAGCGTCAGAACCCAGATCAAAACATTTCTGCCATGGATTTGTAGTCAGTCCATTATGTTAAAAATTGACAAAGCGATTCACCATTTTACTCTTGAAAGTACAGTAGGAGTCATTTGATATAAAAAGCTCATAAAAAGTTGAATTTTGACCGTGCACTTATAACTGAAATAAAATCTATTACACCTTTATTATAGCCTACTATCAACTACTCTGCAAAATTTAGTCAGTATTTCTATAGCTTTTATTTTTTTCCATATTTGAGTTTATTGTTTATTCTTTATTTTACCAAGTACAGTAAGATTTTAAACTAATTAATTTGATTTGATTGGTTTTTAGATTTGTAGCCTACAAAAGGCCAACCAGTGTTTTATAAATTTTGGGAGGATAAACTGGTTTCTTTTTAGGCCCGGACAGAGGCGGTTGATCCAGAGTTGGATAAGGGAGGGCCTACTGTGGTAACAATGGGAAGGTGATATTTAACTACTGTCAAACAGTGAGAAAGGTAGCCCTCAATCTGACTTGAGCGCTTTGTCCCACAGATTGACAAAATTTCTGTTTTCTTATAAGGTCATTGGACATAGATTATGCGGCAGTGTAACACTTGTTTGCAAGAGATTTTGTTTACATTAAAAAAATTTATTTCTTATAAAGGTTAGGTTAATGTATTTGTCTGCAGCTCTCAAACAATTAAAACTTAACAGCTGATCTAAATTGAGGTTCAATCCATGACTACACAATCCGTTCATAAAAACAGATACATTGCTAAAAAAAGAATAAAAATATGACATGTTTTAAGAAAATGTTTTAGTGAAAATTTAATCAGGCAAATGGAAATTCACATAGTCTGCAGGTTTGTTGTGGTGGGGGTAGTAATCACAATTAGTGTTGCCATGAGCATAGATATAAAAAAAACTGCCATTGTTACTAATTGGCACCCTAGAATAATAATGACTAGGTGAAACCCATCAAAATCTATGGTTACTTTCAAGGCTTACGCTAATAATTCATCTAACTGCAATAAATAGAGTAAAATCATCAAAATGTTGAACATTTAGCTTTGTTTAATCTATACTATAATATGAGTAACATTTGCGCACAATGATATCAAAAACGGCTCCAAAAATAACCTCTAAAATGTAAGGAATATCAAGTACGTCATCGGAGTTCTTATTACTAGGCCTATGTTAACTGGTTTTATCCCCTTTTTGAAGAACTTTTAGTGTTAAAATAGTATTGGTGGATCTTTTGTGGTAAACACTTCCACGATTTCATCAGTGCAAGGCAGATTGAATCTATCTTTAGCGAATTTCCCTATAGGGAAGTAGTTATTAGTGTAGGTAGGATGGTAAGACCTAGGCCCGGGACCGATTTATTTTATCATTTTTATGTCCCTAGAGGTCAAAAACACAATTAAATCTAAAATTTTATATATGTATACAGGGTGTTTATAAAGGAGTGTCACAAACTTCAGGGGCTGATGGTACTAATCAATCAAAACAAAAAAGTACATATAAACGTAGGTCGAACAAATTTTGTTTCTTTTCTCAGACCGTGCAGAGGCTAACAAAATGATTAATTTTGACCTTTTACACCTCAAGTTCGATATTTTAACCGATACTGTACTGTTCTATGTTAAATTATGTATAACAATCAATAAAAAAACAAATTTCGATATTTTTGACCTTAATTTAGGTACTTATATTGGCCGTACTGAAAATTTTGCATCGCCAACTAGAGGTCCCTTTTCGCTTTCCACATCGCAATTATTTGGCGCCACCTGGAAATGGTTTCTTGAGAGCTGTTTGTCCAGAACTTTATGTCTTGTACCAAGAGTGTAGTAATCATTTTACTTATTTACAACCAACTGCCATTCCATTTCTAGGGCCTAGTTGTCCCCGGTCAACGTCAAGAATGCTCACCAACACGTTGTCTCCGGCCGAAACTATGATTAGTTAGGCCTTCCTTCTTTGACATCAGCTCCTCCAGTTTAGTATAGAATGATTCCATCATTTCACATAATGTCACAAAACAATATCTCACAAGAGGTAATCAATGAACATAGATTAACTTGATCACGTGCGCATTACTACAGGTCAGCAGTAACAAAAACATAATGCAGGTCTGTCCATCCTAATCGCAAATAGTGCAAATGGTGCGGGTGACATGTCTTAATGATAATTCGGCGTTTGCGCAAACTAGAAATTCCCACAACCCGACCAGGGCAATCAATCTTGCTCACATCGCGTTGTGGGTATTTTGGACTTGCTAAATTGCCGAAGAACATTATACCTTCAGCATTTGAGAAAATCAATTTACCCACAACGCGGTCTGGGCATTTTGCTTCGGCCATTGTTGAATCTTCTGTCTTGTTAAATTACTGTTAAATAGCATTAATGCCAAAACGGCCGTAACGGAAGTTACAACTTATTGAGCTGTAGACAAAAGGTAAATATAATTTTTTGGTTACATCACAGCTCAGGGGCTAAAAATATGGATTTTAATGGTCATCGTTGCCTACAAATTGCCTACAAATATAAAAATATCAAGTTGGAACGCATGTCAGAACATCAAATTCAATAAATCATGCCTACACATGAACATCATCCTGATTTTACGTGTAAATATAAATGTTTCGTGTGTCAGTGTGTGTGTATATGTGGACTTCAACGATGACCAATGCTATTAACAGTAATTTAACAAGACAGAAGATTTGACAATGGGACTGTTGGCCCCGAAACTATAGACATCATAAAAGACGACTCGGATTGAAGGCCTAAATAAGGTATTTAACCTATTATTATTAGTACTCTTTATCAATCCAGGAGGCAAAACATGGATAAAGAAGTCATAACTCATCTCTACCAAGTTTCTACGCCCAGTCGTTCTCTCAAATTAGTTTTTACAAAGAAAAATAGTTTCAAATTAAATATAAATATAGCCTATAGATGATAATAATAATAGCTGTGCGGTATGAGTTCTTGCAACAATGTGTGAGGGTTTTAAAAATAAAAACACTAACTTATTTTAATTGTTGGAACTTACTTCAAAGGTAGGCCAGCAATGTGTGTTGTTCCGTTCAATTAAACTACATAAAAAAGCAACTAAACATTGAAAAAGCAAACAATCAAAAATTAAGTAGGCAGTAGGCCCAATTCAATTCCACTGAATCTAATTTACATACCTTTGGGTTTTAATTGTGTTTTCTTTTGCAATACTCTTGTAGTGACTTTTTGTGTACCAAAGTAATCATCATAAACCTCCTCCCTGTAATCCTGCAAATACGAGACAAAATAAGACAATTATAAAGTTGTGGCACTCCAAAACACGTTTTAAAATGCAGCTTAGTTCATCCGTTCCTCATTGTCAGTTAAGTTAAGGCTGAAAATAAGTGCTCGATAATATTGTAAATACCCCCGCCGCAGCAAACCTGCAGACTAAGCGGATTTCAACTTGTATAATTACATATTTACTCAAATATTTCCATAAATAAGACAAATTTATTCCCAATTTAAATAACATTAGATTTAACGAGTGCTTAGGTTTGCTGCTTCGGGGAAGGTAAACAGTGTTTTTTGACCAAACGTCAATAGAATAGGATGAAATAAATAAATTTGCCAAATTTTATCAACATATATAAACTACAACAGTTTTAATTTTCTCCATAAGAATAACATGGAAATTTTAAATTTGGACTTTTTTGAATTTTCTCTGTAGGCCAAATCATTAGGCATACAACAATGCTTCATTATACTAAATTATTTCTTTTTTTAAGCTCTACAAAATGGTTGGGTAAGATATTCCAAAATTTTATGTTTTTAGGGTCAAAATGGGAAAAACCCACTTTTACCCCATAAAACCCCCATAAACCCCCGTTCCCATGGTCCGATCATGCTACTTCGCAAACTCATTCGAATAAATGTAGGTTTACACGTTTATACCAAATTTCATCAAAATTGGATAGTTTTTGTTTGAGTTATCGTGCTAACGGACACACACATACACACATATATATATATTTGTTTTTTATTATTTATATATACTAGTGTACCTGTTGCTCGAAATCAAGCAATTGTCAAGTACCGGTATTATACAGAAGTTATTTTAAAACTAAAGTAATAACGGTCATAATTTTCGATGAGTTTAAAAGATCCGACTAAATACTAATGTAACTAATTAAATACACTATTTAATAGCGCTTTGAAATAATAAACGCATCTTATAAAAATATTTTAGCATTTTTTGGACCTAGCCTTATTTTTTAGTGTTTTCTATAAATGTTTCCCGACTTAAAGCTGTTGTACCAGTAAACATTTCTTGCATGTATTTATTTGATCTGACTTTAGGTAGGTTTACTTTACCACTGTGACAACATGATGTGTATATTCTTCATGGTTTTTTTTTTACTTCCAAAAAGTTGCTTAGCATAACTGGCAAAAATGATTCATCTCCCCAAGTGATTGTGTACCTGGATTCCTTACTGTGACACCAGGCCCATAGGCGGATCTAGGCCCCAAAATGTGGGGGCGCTAAGCCAGGGGGTCTGGGGGCAAAAAATAGGCAGACATTAAGGCCAAAACAAGGGACACTCGGAGGGTTAAAATTTGAGGTTCCTATTATCCTCATATCTGTTATATATCTGTCATATCTATTATCCCCCCCTTTAGCCGCCACTGACCAGGCCTCTCCCCTACTCTTCTCATACGTATAAGATTTCCTATTAATTGTCTCCTCCTCCTGTTTTCAATATTTATCCTTTAAACTCAAGAAATTGTCCGTTCTTCCAAAAAAACTGATTGACTGTTTAGATTTGTCTACAACCTCTGAAATATTACAAACATCAATATTTACAGTACTCCAAAAAAGCTGGTGAGTTTATTTTTATATACAGCTGTTTTTGTTTTTAAATTTGTTTTCAATGTAATTCTTATGGGGAAAATGCGACCTTTGAGAGCGTCTCGTGCCCTTAAGGGTAAGAGTCTAAAACCTTTATGTAAAACTACGAATTGAGACAAATTTTTTTGACACCTCAAACGTTAAAATCGGTCTAGAAAAAACGGAGGAGTTTTGTTCCCAAAAAACAGCCCTCACATATTAATATAAGAGACTAGCTGTAACCCGCGGGCTTTGCCCCGTTTAACTTCTTAATTTTCAAGATTATCTCGTTCGCATGGCTCAATCAGGTCCTGGTTGAAGTTTGTTCGCTACGCTCACTCACCTTTAGGTTGGAGCTCGTTCGCTACGCTCACTCACCTTTAGGTTGGAGCTCGTTCGCTACGCTCACTCACCTTTAGGTTGGAGCTCGTTCGCTGCGCTCACTTGCCTTCAGGTTAGCTCGTTCGCTACGCTAACTCGCCTCCAGGTTGAAGTTCGTTCGCTACGCTCACTCACCTTTTGGTTGCAAATTAGCTGTTGTCATAAATGTAAAAGAAATAATAGTGCTGCACCCTGTTGGTAATCCTTGTAACTTTAATGCTATTGAACACCATAGAACAGAACCAACTTGTTTAATTGAAACAGCTGTTAAGATTCAATAATTCCATTTCTCATAAGGTTAACATGGGAAACTCCAGAGCCACTGGGGCGGAGCCCGAAAGGATTTTTGAAATAAGAATATGCCTATATGTTAATCGGGAATGTGAGCTATCATCATGCCAAATTTCAGCCCAATCCGTCCAGTATTTTTCGAGTTTACTTTTCCCATACACACATACACACATACAGCAACCACCTCTTTTTTATAATAGTATAGATATAAATATATAAATGTGTCTGTTAGCACGATAACTCGAGCAAAAATGATCCGATTTTAATGAAATTTTGTATAAACGCATAAACCTACATTTATTCAAACGAGTTTGCGAACCAGCATGATCGGACTATGGAAACGGGGGTTTTATGGGGTAAAAATAAGTTTTTCCCCCTTTTGACCCTAAAAACACAAAATTTTACGGATATTTTTAAGGAGGCATTTTAGTGTAAATCCAATCAGGCTAATGTAAATTTGCTTAGTCTGCAGGTTTGTGCGACGGGGGTATTTAATATGACAAACATATTGTACTTATTGTATTTAATGGTAAATAAAGACTTAAGACTTAAGTTATGATCTGTTTACGTTTTTATTGATATAAATGGAAAACAACCACCTCCTAAGTGACAACCAACACGGATTCAGAGAAAAGAAATCCATAAATACCGCTCTGGCTCAACTCTGCAACACCATAACCAATATCTGGGAGGATAGAAAACAGCAAACGGCATATTTCTAGATCTCCAAATAGCGTTTGATAACCTACTTCTCCAAAAAATATCAGCCCTAAACATCAACAACAAAGCTCTTGACTGGATTAAAAGCTACCTCTGCAATAGACAACAACTCATTGAAATTGAAAACAAAAGTGGAAACTTCATTAGGTTTTCATCAAATTTAGATCAAAATTACAAACCATCACTCAAGGTATCCCCCAAGGCTCAGTAATGGGACCCCTACTCTTCCTGATCTACATAGACACCTTCCCCACCCTCCTACCAGCAGACAATACATGTATGTTTGCTGACGACACGGCCATTATAGTCCTGGGCTACCAACACCCAATCTAACATAAAAAACAATAGACACAAAAAAAAAATCTGCAATCTCCGAATCAATGAATCTAAAACTGACTGCATGAAATTCACCCCAACAAACAAACCCTCAGCTCAAGAAGACACAACAAATCCCAACCCCACAACCAAATTCCTCGGCATCACTCTTGAACCGCAACTAAACTGGCACCCCCACTTGGAAAGGCTCCAGCGAAAACTCTCATCAGCTATCTATTTCCTTAGAAGACTCAGAGAAATCACTACCTAACGAAGAAACTACTACGGCTTACCATATATATTTTATGATAGTTAGCTAACCCTTCCCGGACGGGTGACGGATATATCCGCCTAAGTCTTTGGCGATAAAGGACGGGAGGCGGAAATATCCACTTATGGTTTTTGATATGATATTCCGGGCGGGAAGCGGATATATTCGCCTTCTCTTCAGACAGACTGGCAGGTGCTTGAGCAGTAACTAGATGTTTCGCGGTACCAAGGAGCCACTTTCCTGCTCTCTCCATGGCTGCGCTCTCTCCTATACTCCCTTCTCTCTCCCGCGCCTACCCCTCTCCCACGCCTCCCCTTCTCCCACGCACCACCCACCTCTCCTACACTCCCCCCTCGACTTTTCGCGCTCGACACTACGTTATCTTTATTTATTGCCTAACGTTGTCATGGTCATATCTTCAAAGACGGGTGGCGGATATATCCGCTGCTTTTCTACTCATCCACGGACGGGTAGCGGATATATCCGCATAGTTAAAAACGAGTAAAAAATTATTTTGACAGTATGAAGTGTTCCATTGTGTTTATTTTATGTATACTCGTACCTAACAAAACACAAATAAGGAAAATTAATTTTTATTTTTTCCAATAGGCTAATTGTTTACTGTTCCATGTCACGATTTCGCCCTTCCGGGAAGGGTTAAGTAAAAAAACAAACAATAAACTTAACTAAAATTTATTAATAGCCTATAATTACCGCATAGGGTTGGAAAATTTGTAGTTCCTTCCACTTTTAGTCATGGCCTACAAATTAAAACTAAAACTAAGGATAAAATAAAGAAACAACTTTATATAGACCTACGGTACCGGTAACTTAACCCTTAGAGTGCCAGGCGAGAAATAAAAGTAACGCTCAAAAAATGCCGATGATTTTCCCCGAAGGTCGCGCTAAAAATGCCGAGCGCGATCTGGCGATTTTTAGGTTAAAATTTCGTAAAAATCAAATTTTCGATATTTCGACCAACGAAAATCGATGTATCGCATCTAGTAACTTTCGACTCAATGTTAATATATGGGTTAAAAGAATCCGAGTATCCATTCGGTTGTTATGACAACTGTTCGATCATTACGAAACGTCCGGTCAGCCGGACGTTGGCACTTTTGGCACGTCCTAAAAACGTCCGGTCGGCCGGACGTCGGCACTTTTGGCTCGTTTTAAAAACGTCCGGTTCCCCGGACGTTGGCACTCAAGGGTTAAATGTTTTGTGTTAGCCTAGGTTAATTCTGAGCCAAGACTGGGTCAACTAAAATTCTTTTCATATTATAGTTCATTGTTCTGTTGGTTAGTAGTAAGTAACACGTAGGCCTATAAGTTAGACAAGAATTTTATTTATGATTAGCTTAGGTACGGCAAAACATTATGTGTTTAAAATAAGGCAGAGGATAACCGGACGTGGATTAGGCGTCCGGCAGTTACTATCACAACCTAACCTAAGTAACCAAACTTGCTGATGATGAAAAAATCGAATAAAGGTTAACTTCTGTTAAAAAAATAAAATTGTAAATGCCTCAAATTCTTAAAGATGTACAGTTAAGAAGAAATGGCATTAGATGCAAAATCTTTGAAAAAACTACACCACGAAGGGCAGTACATCGTATCAAAAGTGATAATGGTGTTCCGGGCCCCCACAACCCGGTGACGTCACTGCCAAACGCCTAATCCACGTTCGGTTACTGGACACGTATCCTTTGCATTAAAATAATGCTCTGCTATAATATGTGTCTAAGCTAACCTAAACTAACCTTGTTAAAGCCTAACTAAACTCGTCCCAATCTGTGTTTGGGTCTCTAACCTCCAAACTTGCTTTCCAGCAAAAAAATTCTTACATTGACATGTTACTACTAGAACAATCAACTTTAATATGAGAAAAATGATGACGTCTTGGCTCAGAATTACCACCGGGGGGGGGGGGCCCTTTGTTTTCAAACTAGGCCTAACTTAGATATTTATGATTTTAGGATTAAATTTAACTCATGAACCAAATATACGATTAAAGTTTGTTTAAAAAATAAATTCAAACCTGTGATTGAGTATTACACTCAGAGCAAAAGAAAAATCCAGCTTCTGCAATAAAATTAGATCCCCCACAGACAGTACACCTTGCATTTGGTTGGGACATAGTACACCATAATCACTCATACAAACGCGCAACCGTCTTATAAATTATACTAGAAATTATTATTTTCTTTAGGCCTAATTTGACTTTGCCTATTGCATACTTCTTGAAGTCAGAGTAGGCCTAAGTAAGTAAATGAATGCAGTGCAGAATGAAGTCGACTCGTTGATCCTGACTCGCTGACTGTTCGGATTGTTGAAGGTTATGTTTATGTTTTTGATTTGATTGAATTTGTTGAATGCCCGATGGATGAGACTTGAGGATTTCAATTTTTATACTCTTGTTCTTCTTCTTTTCTCGTTTGCTTATAAAAAAGCTGGCTTGGTTAAACTACCATGTAGTTACACCATTTCACATTTCATTTTCATAACCATTGCGATTTCACTTTACCTTCAATCAGAGTTTAATTCTTCATTCCCTTTTACCATAGATAAAACATGTTTTATCTATGCTTTTACTTTCTTCTCCTATAAATACCATAGAGATACTGTATAATGAAAAAAGTATTTTTTCGTCAAAATTTTCGAGTTTGATTTTTGAGTGGCTATATCCGTTTTGGATCCCCATGAACCCAAAAAAGTGGTTTGTGGATGTCTGTACAGAGCTACATACACGGCCGCCTTTAACTCCAGGCCGCGGCCTTCGAACTGGCAACGTCACAAGTGGTGTTGTAACAGCTGATTTTTTTGGAAGCAACTAATGGTATTTGTGTATTTACGAAAGATTGATTACTGGAATATGACAATATTGACTCCGCTTAAAAATTTACAGATATAGATTTAATTCATATTGTTTCAGTTTTCAATTATGTATGTTTTATTTTTAATATTTTAATAAATTTATGTTCATAAACTAAAAATTAAATCAATAAAGTGCGAATTAATGAGCTGATGTCACCTGTCTGCCATGTTATCTTATGGGACGTCTGTCACTGAACAACACCACTTGCGATGTTGCCAATTCTACCAGGCCGCGGCCTGTAGTTAAAGGCGGCCGTGGCTACATACCACACCTGTTGTCTGATTTTGCTGAAATTAGGTACCGTAAGTAGGTAATCAATTGTATCTTTAGGTGTTTTTTTAGCGAATTTCCCATATAGGGAATAAGCTATTACCGTAGTACTCATGGCAAGACATGGACCCGGGACCGATTTAATTTTCATTTTGAGGTCCATAGAATCCAAAAACACCATCTGTTCAAATTCATATATACACATAAATAAAAAGAATATAAAAAAGGGTACTCATGTTATTTTACATATTATTTATATATACACACATATATATATAATATATATATATATATATATAGTATAATATATATATATATATGTGTGTGTGTGTGTGTGTGTGTGTGTGTATGTCTGTCTGTTAGCGCGATAACTCGAGCAAAAATGATCCGATTTGGATGAAATTTTGTACAAACGTATAAACCTACGTTTATTCGAACGAGTTCACGATCCAGCATAATCTAACCATGGGAACGGGGGCTTATGGGGGGTTTTATGGGATAAAAATGGGGTTTTCCCATTTTTGACCCTAAAAACAAAAAAACTTTGCAATTTCTTTTAAAACCGTTTTGTAGAGCTTAAAAAAAGAAATAATTTAGTATATTGAAGCGCTGTTGTATGCTTAACGGTCACTGAGAAAATTCAAAAAATAGTGTAATTTAAAATCCCCATGTTATTCTTTCGGAGAAAATGGAAATTGTTGTAGTTTACTTGTTTATGGATATATTTTGATAAGATTTGGCAAATTTATTTATTTCATCCTATACTATTGACGTATGGTCAAAAAACACTTTTTACCTTCCCCGTAGCAGCAAACCTGAGCACTCGTTAAATAATGTTATTTAAATAGGGAATACTTAAATATGTCTTATTTATGGAAATATTTTAGTAAAAATGTAATCAGACAAGTTGAATTTCGCTTAGTCTGCAGGTTTGCTGAGGCGGTGGTATGTTTTTAAATTTTGATTTTTTATTGTGATTTCCCATAACAACGCATAAAATAACGGAAAAATCGGAAATGGCTCGACCGATTCTGATAAAGATTATAGTCCTTTGAATTCTGAACAAAATGGTACAAGTAAATTCACTAAGTGTCCATGTGTGTAAGTTGCTTCTTAGTTATTACAATCTTACATAAGCTAAAAATATAGTCACAATGGTGATCTTAATAGCGATTGTTTTGTTTGTGTAAGTGGGCCACGCGATATCTTTGTTTTTAAAAAGTATGCATTAACTTAACACTAATGTTTTGTGTAGCTACACATTATTTACTAATATTTACATGAGTAGGCGGGAATCAAGGCCCCACTAGAAAACTAGTGGGGCCTTGCGGGAATGCGTGTGCTTCGAGAATAGAAATACGAATTACTTCTAAGAATACACGACATTGGTTACACGTTTGCTAACTAAACCTAGGTGAATACTAGCTAAAGTCAAAGCATATGAACCGCTTATAATGAAATTGTGTAATTGTGTGTTATTTATTTTGTGTGGTATTTATTTCATACTAGCTGTAACCCGCGGGCTTTGCCCCGTTTAACTTCTTAATTTTCAAGATTATCTCGTTCGCATGGCTCAATCACGTCCTGGTTGAAGTTTGTTCGCTACGCTCACTCACCTTTAGGTTGGAGCTCGTTCGCTACGCTCACTCACCTTTGGGTGGAAGCTCGTTCGCTGCGCTCACTTGCCTTCAGGTTAGCTCGTTCGCTACGCTAACTCGCCTCCAGGTTGAAGTTCGTTCGCTACGCTCACTCACCTTTTGGTTGCAAATTAGCTGTTGTCATAAATGTAAAAGAAATAATAGTGTTGCATCCTGTTGGTAATCCTTGTAACTTTAATGCTATTGAACATCATAGAACAGAACCAACTTGTTTAATTGAAACAGCTGTTAAGATTCAATAATTCCATTTCTCATAAGGTTAACATGGGAAACTCCAGAGCCACTGGGGCGGAGCCCGAAAGGATTTTTGAAATAAGAATATGCCTATATGTTAATCGGGAATGTGAGCTATCATCATGCCAAATTTCAGCCCAATCCGACCAGTATTTTTCGCGTTCACTTGTCACAAACATACATCCATACATCCATACATCCAAACTTTCTCATTTATAATATTAGTAGGATTATTAAATAGCTAACTTGTGAATTATAGTGTGTAAATTAAGGGTGAGGTTCATAACTCCAAGTTTTCATAACTCCAAGTACTTTTAAATACAACAAAAGGCTCCAATGGGACCCTTTGTCAGAAACATTCGGATCATTACAGTCACTAATACAGCAGAAAACAAAGTCATGTTTATCAAAAGAAACACCATTCCTAGTATTACTTATGTCTAGAGAGCTACCATGTCTAAAAACTATGGTGACAGAGGAGCCAATATACAGACATGAGTGTTCTGAACACTGTTTTGAATTGAGGCCTTTAAAATAAGACTCAATGGTACTGTCGTCTAGCCACCTACTTTTCGACCAGTTATCAGATTTAGTTGAACTAAGCTCAATTTTTAATTGGTAAATAGATTGTTCAAGAAGAGTAATATTACATTCACATTTTTTGAGTAAACCATTTAGGTTGTTTATTTCATTGTTTCCACTTACAATGTTTTGCTCTAAACACTCCTTCTCTACCAACAAAGTTTTAATCGTACCCTGAGCCTTAACAAACTCTTTTTTTTAACAAATCATATGATCAATAGATAATTTGTGCTGTTCAGATACAAGCTCATCTTGAACATTGTTGAGATCGTGTTTACGCTGGGAAATTTCCCGGCTCAAGCGATTATCAAGATAAGATAATTCAGTTATCAGTTTCTCATTTTGGACCTGTAATTCCTTATTAATTGAGAAGGATCTGTCCAACGTCTTAATTAAATATACAATTCCAGACTCGACGTTACCAAAGTTGATTTCAGGATGATTTATATTTAATTGTTTAAAATCTAGACAGAGCTGTGATGAGCAATTTTCAGATATTTCGTCTAAATTGACAGTCTCAAACAGTTCTTCAATAAGTTTAACCATAATGCTCAGTGACTAGAATAAAAATAATTAAAATATCATACACAAAGGTTAGTAGAATGATAGTATGTATTTTACAATAAACACAATATATTTAAAAAAGATTGATAAATGTCAGGAAAACTTCATCCCCATTGTAGCGCGTCGATCCGCAGTGATAAGAAGGGAGACTAGCAAGCGATCCCTCAGCAGTTGGATATTATGAATTCCTTCAAACAGTGCCACGCAATCCGTGTGGTGGTACTGGTTGGCGCATAGTGTCACAGTCTTTGAAGGCGCTCTGCGGCCAGGAGTAGCGGGACGGCAGGCGGAGTTGAACAGGTAAATTTAAGGGTTAGTTTCCCCGACCAGTGGGCAGTTGGCAACCCTGAGACGTCTGCGCGGGTAAGATGAACTGCTAAACTTGGATGAAATTTCACATTGGTTTAAAACATGGAGGTTCAAAATTAATGAAAATAAATCAGCACACATTACTTTTACCTTAAATCAGGCTACATGTCCTCCAGTATCCATGAACAATATTCACCTCCCTCAAGTAACAGAAATAAAGTACTTGGGCATGCACTTAGATGCAAAGCTTAATTGGAAGGCACATATCTGAACAAAACGACAACATCTAAATTTAAAAACAACTAAACTCAATTGGGCAATTGGCTTCTTGGATCTAAATCAAAACTCAGTACACAAAATAAATTGTTGCTGTACAAAACAGTTATAAAACCAATTTGGACTTATGGTAAAATTCTCTTTGTGCTAGTGTTGACAGTGGTCAATCACTAGCTCATGTTCTTCAAGTTATTTTAGCGAATTTCCCATATAGGGAATAAGCTATTACCGTAGTACTCATGGTAAGACCTGGACGCGGGACCGATTTTTTTTCATTTTGAGGTCCCTAGAGGCCAAAAACACCATCCGTTCAAATTCATATATATTAAAAACACAAGAGTGTTTATATATAAAGAGATTATATATAAATGTATATAGAGATTATGTATATATAGAGAATATATATATTATATATATTCTATATATAGAGAATTATATAGATAATTCTATATATATAATCTGCGAGATTATATATATAGAGAATATGTATATAGAGATTATATATAAATGTATATATATAGCCTATGTGTCCGTTAGCACGATAACTCGAGCAAAAATGATCCGATTTTGATGAAATTTGGTACAAACGTGTAAACCTACGTTTATTCGAACGAGTTCGCGATCCAGCATGATCGGACAATGGGAACGGGGGTTTACGGGGGGTTTTATGGGGTAAAAATAGGTTTTTCCCATTTTTGACCCAAAAAACATAAAATTTAGCAATTTCTTTCCAAACCATTTTGTAGAGCTTAAAAAAACAAAAAAATTAGTATATTGAAGCGTTATCATGCGCCTAATGGTTACGGAGAAAATTCCAAAAAATTGTAAATTTAAAATTCCCATGTTATTCTTATGGAGAATAAGTAAATTGTTGTAGTTTGCTTGTTTATGAACATATTTTGATCAAATTTGGAAAATGTTTTTATTTCTTACTAACTATTAACGTTTAAAAAAAACACTTTTACCCTCCCTGATGCAGCAAACCTAAGTACTAGTTAAACTAATTCTATTTAAATAGAGAATAAATGTTATATTTTTAAGTAGACATTTCAGTGCAAATCCAATCAGTAAAATAAAAATTCGCTTAGTCTGCAGGTTTGCTGCGGCGGGGGTATTTGTATTTCTATTTATATCATTTGCTTACTGTTCAACTTGAACAGATTGTAAATTAAATAAAGTAAAAAAAAAAAAAAAAAAATGCCACACAGCTGGTTCAAACAAATTAAATACTGCACGAATGTTAGAACAGAGAGGGTAAGGATTATAAATTTAAAATAATGATGTCACTAGCCCTATTGTAAACATTATTTAACATTACTTAAATGGAGCTAGCAAATACAAATTTTTTTTTTATCAGAATTTATTTTACAATCTGTTCAAATATGAGAACAATAGGTAAAACATATATCTAAAAAAACAATGTCAGGAAGCAAGCACCTGTTCATCAACAGTCTTGCCAAAAATTGGATCAGTCATTTAAATATTTAAAAAAGTCTGTAGCTTAGGTCCAGCACATGCACAACACTTTTTAACCTGTTAATGCACTGGCTATTGTCCAGCAGATTAACAGCAAGACTGTTCGGATGGTATTCTTTTTTTTTTAATAATTTTTGCTAAGGTCTGTAATTTCTTCTTTCACTGATTTAATTTTGAAGTCATTCCTAATTGTAGTGTTGGATACAAACCAGGGTGCGCCAATAATTCTTCTCAGTGCCTTAGCCTGAAATACGAATAGTAGCGCTGATTTGCAGTAGTAGTTCAATAAAAATAAAATAACAAGCGACCGGCTGACCGGCACAACTAATTGTGACCAACGGGATTGATTTATTTAGTATCTTATATGCATTAGAAATCATGTACTACCACAAAGTCTTCTTTCTACATTGATTTACAATTTCATAATGCCCCCACCGCAGCAAACCTGCAGCCATAGCAAATTTCCATTTGTTTGGCTTTATTTTCAATTAAATCTAATTCAATAACGTTAGGTTTAACGAGTACCTAGGTTTGCTGCCTACAGGGAGGGTAACGAAGTGTGATTTTTAGAAAAATACTAGCTGACCCGGCGAACTTCGTATCGCCTAAGTTATAGGTTTCCCCTAAGACAGACCGATATGGAAAGAAAGTACCGTTACGTTTAATTTTCAAGATGATCTCGTTCGCATCGCTATATCACGTCCTGGTTGAAGTTCGTTCGCTACGCTCACTCACCTTTGGGTTGGAGCTCGTTCGCTACGCTCACTCACCTTTAGGTTGGAGCTCGTTCGCTGCGCTCACTTGCCTTCAGGTTAGCTCGTTCGCTACGCTAACTCGCCTCCAGGTTGAAGTTCGTTCGCTACGCTCACTCACCTTTTGGTTGCAAATTAGCTGTTGTCATAAATGTAAAAGAAATAATAGTGCTGCACCCTGTTGGTAATCCTTGTAACTTTAATGCTATTGAACATCATAGAACAGAACCAACTTGTTTAATTGAAACAGCTGTTAAGATTCATTAATTCCATTTCTCATAAGGTTAACATGGGAAACTCCAGAGCCACTGGGGCGGAGCCCTTTTAAGAATTTCGAAATGGGAAATAGTTTACGTCCGATTCGCATACCTACAGAATTTACACACCAAATTTCATAACGATCGGTGAAGTCGTTCCGGAGGAGTTTGCAGACAAACACTGTGACACGAGAATTTTATATATTAGATTAGAAAAATATTATTAGGTTTGCATGAAATAGATAAATTTGCCAAGTTTAAAGAAAATCTATTCACAAACGTGCAATATTACAACAGTTTCCTTATCCGACTAAATATTATAAGTAAGAAAGTTTGGATGTATGGATGTATGGATGGATGGATGGATGGATGGATGGATGGATGGATGGATGGATGGATGGATGTTTGTGACAAGTAAACGCGAAGAATACTAAGCCGACAAGGTTGAAATTGGTATGACGATAGCTGACATTCCCGATTAACATATAGACATATTCTTACCTCAAAAATCCTTTCAGGCTCCGCCCCAGTGGCTCTGGCCATGGAGTGTCTCATGTTAACCTTATGAGTATTCATATTTAAAGAAATTAAAGAATTTTGTCGGCCTTTTCAACTGCACAAGTTGGTTCTATGATATTAAATAGCATTAATTATAAGGTTTGCCAATAGGGTGCAGCACTATTATGTTTTTTGCATTTATGACCAAAGCTAATTTGAACCCACTAGCAACAAAAAGTTGTGGTACACAATGAGAACTTTACTTTTTTCCATGGTTTAGGTGCAGTGGTAGAACATTAGGGCTATGGTAGATGTGTGTTACACTATAGGATACCGTATAAATGAAAATACCAAATTGTCTTAAACCGTGTATTCTCCCATAACTGCAATAAACATTTATACTTATATGCAAACCCCGTACGAAGGACGGGTACTCTGCTAGTTATAAATAAAACATAGTCTCTTAGCTATTAACCTACAAAATCAGAGCTAAGTTATATTGCTTCGGTAGTTTAGGTGTGGTTGAAAGAACTGGGCTCTGGGAGGCAAAACGCGATGATAATTCCTCGGACGATTCGGTAACGGGGATATTCCCCGCGAGCCGGGTAGATGCAGGGAGACGTCCGATCAATTACCCACCCGAACCAGTTTTGTCCGGCTCGCGCACTGTCCGCCTCACGCACGTCCGGGGGAAACACGGCACCCCAACGAATACCAGTTTCCGTTGGGCCAACGTTGGCAAATCGTTAAAATTTCTGCCAACCATTTCCCAACCGTGCCGACCATTTCCCAACGTTGGGCCAACAATGTGTGCTACTTGGGATGTTTTGTGATTTTATGTAAACTACTGCTTCGTAGATGAATATGCAAGGGACAGTCAAGAGTCCAAGCTGGATGAATGCATCTCTGCAGCTGGCATCTGGTGGCATGCCTAGGATGGTCCTTATTGTTTTTTGTTCAGACAAAAACTGTATCCAAATTCTTTTTGGTGGAAGAACCCCACAAAATGATAGAATAAGAAATGTACTGCTCGAACGCTCGAACAGTCCGTGATAGACGAGCCTGGACAGAGCATCGCTGCCGTATGACCTCATCGCCTCATCCTACGTAGAATGAACAGTCCTCGAGCAAGCGACCTCTCTAATCCATACTCGGGATTGAATGAACAAAAAAATCATGCGGAATGAAACGGGATTTTTTACAATTTAAAAGCGGGATTAAACGGGATTTCTCGACCCAGTAAGCGGGATTATTATTTTGGTCGTGTGGAAACACTGACACAATCGACAATCACCACACCACACCACGGTTTTCACCGAATCACCAACCACCAAACCGATGTTTGGGTTGAGTTGAGAGAATATTTACTAACCTCAAAGTGAAAATTGTTTAGATCTAGATTCTAGATTGTTCTTTCAACTCAATCGCGATTTGATATCTCGTTTTTAAAATTGAGTGTGATGATAAGTAGCAAATTATTTTTTGTGTTTCAATATTATGAGTGATACACATACCTCATAGGGTGAGATAACTAATTAAGTTACATAGCTAGCTAATGCTAATAATCTAAACTAGGCTACTCTGTTTTTAATAATTGTTGCATCAGTGGTTGGGAAAGTTCATATTACTTGCAAGATAGGCCTACTTTAGTTTTAACAATAATCATCCAATTCATCAAAATCATTGATGACCAACTCATTGTACACTTGGACATTGATTTAAGGTGTTTTATTCTCCTAGAAGACCTAAACTTAGCTACTTCTAGCCAACTTGTAGGCCTGCATAACTGATTCATGATAACAAGTTCACTTACTCGATACTGGTCATCGAGTTTATGGATGGGCTTACATAAATGAAATTTTCCTCCAAATATTCCATGGACAGGACGGCACTCCCTGTCAGTTACAAACAGGCTGCGCTTACTAACAGCCTTCTATACATAGGGTTGTTGCGATATCAGCAATCTATCGATATTAGATATCGATAACGATTCCAGCCTCTAATATCAATATCACGATAATATCGGGTCCTAATATCGATAACTTCAATATCGTATATATCGGTATTACTTTGGAGGAATCTCCTTTTAATGAATTGCTTGAGCTTGTTTAGGATTTTTGATAACGCGTTCTGTCAGGAAATCTTTTTTGGCAAATAGGCCTATGTTACTTTCACTTTAGTACCTGTTGATTGTCATTACTTTTTATTTATAAGGACCAAAGAGAAATTGAAATTTGAAATTAATAATACAAATCTAAGCGATAAACAGCTTTAAACACAGTGCATTTCAAAATTAGCCTAATTTTTTGGAGTTACAATGAAAACAATAATTATCGTATTTACAACAATTTAAACAAGGTTAGCACTGGTGGACTTTAGTGTAGGCTATAATCAACGGCTCTTGAGCTCTGACAACTAACAAGTGACAGCTGACAGCGCAACCAACACTCCAGCAATAAAAATCAGTTGCTACTAACTTAGTTCCTTCTAGGCTACCACAAAAAATATAACCAGCTATTCCCATACTAGTGTGGATTTTATATTGTACATAACTTAACTCGATAAGAAGGTATGCACGGCCACCTGACAGACGTCCCATAAGATAACATGGCAGACAGGTGACATCAGCTCATTAATTCGCACTCTATTGATTTAAATTTAAATTTATGAACATAAATTTATTAAAATATTGAAAATAAAACCTACAGAATGGAAAACCGAAACAATATGAATTAAAAATCTAGATCCGTACATTTTAAGCGGAGTTAATATTGTCACAAGTTAGTCCAGTAACCAATCTTTCACAAAAACACAAATACCATTAGCTGCTTCCAAACAAAACAGCTGTTACAACACTACTTGCGACGTTGCCACTTCGAAGGCTGCGTCCTGGAGTTAAAGGCGGCCGTGAGGTACCTATGTCCATATCACTAAAACTTTATCTAAACTTTGAAAATTCAATATCGAGAACCGATATCGACAAAATTCTTCTGATATCACGCTATTATCGAAACCCCAATACCGATACAATATCGGAAATATCGAAACAAAAATATCGATATGCATTGATATCGATAATATCGCAATATCCCTATCTCTACATATTCAATTCTCATATTGAGGCACATCAAGATGAATGTTCTTGAGAATGTGCTTTATTCATAAAAGACAAAGGAAATATAATCTTATTTATTTGGGTAGGCCTAAGTTAAGTCCATATCGATCACAGATCAAACACCGGTAATGAATGGACGGACGCCTCGATTTTAGCTATTGGCGACGAATATTTAAAAATGTTGGCTCAGTGTTCCAGTCCTAAGTTAAATTATACAAAACTGATTTACAGTCTTTTCCACGGTTATCAAAACTCAAGTAAGTTTTACAGTAACAGTAAGTTAAGTATGGTACAAATTGAAACACACAGAATTGGCTATCCATTTCCCGGCCAGGATGGTCACAGTACCTAGGCTACTTTAATATCCAAACATCTCAATTGGTTCACAGTTCGAAGAAATAGGCTAATTTTCATACAAACACCTGTTTAAGTTGTTTTATTAGGTACGTTTTCTCTAAGAAGTTGATTGGTAGGTTAAGGTTTTTTATAAATAATAAGGAAATATTAGAAAATGTGACAAAAATTTCTTCATTTCTAACTGTTTGAATCTTGAATGGTAGGCCTACACTAGTTTTCTCAGAGTAGGCCGCGCGAATTGGTATGTAGGCATCACAGACTCAATTACAAACTGACAGAAATTTAGATAAGTCCTGTTTCGGATTTCATAGGCCATAAAACGTAAAATAACCAATAGTTTTACGCTTCTATGTAATTTGCAAACAAAACTCATTTTGGCCTATTTATATCTATAGATTATTTTACCTTCAGTTGAATGCCTTTATTCTGGTTTTATGGGATTAGGATCGTAGGCAAGAATTTGTTAATGGTAGAATGCTGGATTCAGCAAAGTTAGTTGTCCTGTGATGGGAATGCATAATATGTGACACATGCTTGAGCAAGTTATTGATTGCAAGTATCTCGTAAGAAAATTTAAACTCATAAAGTTGTAATTTTTTTCAGATGAACTGTACCAAAGAAGAAAGTGACTTAGAAGAAAACTCAGGCAGTTTAATACCTGTTCCTTTAGAAATGTTTTGCTGGGGAAACACTGCCAATGGAGAGTTAGGACTTGGTGGAATTGAAGATCATCAAGTTCTAGCTCCAAGGGAACTTACATTTACAGATGTTAATCAAGTAAAATATGGTAATTTCTTATTTTTGAAGATTAGTTTGCTATAAGAAAGTATTAATTAGGCATACCCGATAAAAAATCCTCAGATGACTAAGCAACATTCCTGGACTCAGCAATCTCCTTGTTAAAGCCTGTTTGCCGGAAGCGGCTAGTGCGTCTAACGCTCAGCGATGATCGCTCCGTGTCAATCGCTGCCCACTGCTTTAAATTTTTTCTGGTTAAAAAAGTATTTTGCCAAAAGCTTCTATCGCTACAGTCGCCAGCGTCTGTAACTGAGCCGCTAGCGTCTATCGCCGACCGCTGCTCCTGGAGCAGACGGAGACGCAGTCGCTAGCGTCTATTAGAAGAATTAACTTGTTGTTGTTGACTGTTCTTTATTTTTTTTAAGTTGTGTTTTTAACCCAGTTTGTAAGTTTAGTGACATGTGGCAATCAACGTGGGGATTTAATAGCGAAGAAGATGATAAATTTATTGAATCCATTTCAGCGTGGGACCCCATTTAACTCTAGAACTGTGGTGATTTTCTATTATTAATAATTTATAATATCCCTCTTTAGGTCTATTTGAAAACATTAACACACTTCTTCCCTGGATTCACACACCATTTCTAAAATCTTTACATCGTCCAATTTCTCAGCAAACAAATTGTAGTGTGACGTTTTTATCGCTAGGAAAATATACGCTATTCTGTAGTTATAGCGGGAAAGACGTCATCATCTCTCGCCAGCGTATCGCTGAAGTCGGCGTGCTGGGAAGTTTCCAGGGTTCTGCAAAAAATAAGTAAATAACTTATCACGGGTATAGATTTGTCTACACAACAAATATGTAGTGTAAATCAAGTGTGAACTCAGTACCGATAAAAACAGCGCTACTGTACCTTCATCATTGTTTACACCTGGGAATATCTAACTGAATTTAATTTTGAAATAATAAAAATTCCTATAACAAATAAAATTCTTAAATAAACTATATTTGCATTTTTATCAATTTCACAGTTTAAAATCGCTATCTTTATGCTGGCGTGCTCATCCGACCACGCGTTTGCACGACCTGCTCCAATGGGTTCATCTCTGCCCTCAGTGGTTTAACACCTGATATAATCTAGTCAATATATTTGATAAAGCCACGTCACCCCCGATATAAACTATAAACATAATCCTAAATAATGTAAACATAATCCTTATTTATCTGAAGGCTATAAATCTTTATCGCCAAACCAAGCAAGCTCTAGCATACGCTAACCCGGACTTGAACATGTCCCTACTTCAACCCTAGAATAGGCTTCAGACAGCCTACAACTAATTCCCTTACCAGGATAGGTTTACCACTAACACAATCCTCAGACGGGTGAAAAACTTCAGATTGACTGGAAACATACGGGATTCAAAATTTGTCTAACCGATTCACGATTAATTCGTAGCTCACTAGCATGACGTCTAGCTGACCGTCATGGGCTTCGAACTTAACTACCGCTTCCTTCATTTTGTGTTTTTGGCAAAGAGGAACAAGGAAGATAATGCAAGTGTTACAGAGACAGGATTGGCCACGACAATAGTTTTATATTTGGTTGAAATGGGCAATTATTTAAATAAGGGACATTACAAGTACTTGGCAAATTTTTCTACAACGATTTCATTAACTCAGACGTTGAATGAAAAACTCACTTTTTACTTCTGGAACTTAAAGGATTGACCAAAAGAGGATTCCATTGGTTAACAAACTTACGTTAGAAAAGGCCCAGTTTTAACTATGACACCTAGAAAAAATAAAACAAACCCTAAACAATTTTTAATTTTTTTGAATAATTGTCAAACTGAAAATGTACGTTATACAAAAAGAAGGGTTGGTAGAGTAGTAATAAAAAAAGTCTGGAATAGCTCATCAATACAACATGGGGATGGGTGGCATTGACTCCACTGATCAGCTGCTTTAGTATATGTTTTTCGATGAAAGACGCACCATGAAACACGCCAAGAAAGTTATATTCAATGTTTTTGCCCAAATGGTGATGGTCCACAACCTGCGCTAGGTCCTAGAAAACTTCCTGGGAGACAGAAAAAGCTTTGTAGAGCTTGTTCTGTTGTAAATCATCCAGAAGGAAAGAAGCGAAGGTCCCACACAATATGTATAAGAAGTGAAACTGGTGTTCATGCTGAGTTTTTAGTGAAACATGGTTGCCTCTAAAAGAAGATCCCTGCGTCTACATTTGTCCTACCCCTGCCAGAAAAATCATTGTTGCACTCAAATTGTCAATGACTGATTAGTAACAGTGACTAGTCAGACTAAAATGGACTTACTTATCGGGCAACTTCATTCACATTTTGAAATCTTTGCTACAGAATCATCATACTTCTAAAAAAAAGCCTGCCTTTTAGCGAATTTCCCATATAGGGAATAAGCTATTACCATAGACTAAGCAACACAAGTAGACTCCTCATCCCATTGTAAATTGTGAAGCTTGTTTTTCATGTCTAGTTCATGTACGTCCACACCGATCGCTGGGGTAGACCACATTTTGTTTCTATTATTTTAGGGTTATTTTCATGATTTGTGCTTTACTAGTCGGTTATATAACTAGTGGACTAGTTATTCTTTATGATTAAATCGTTTTATATGATTAAATGAGGGTTTAAATGACTGAAATAACAAGAAACAAATTGTAAACAAAACATAACCTCTACAGTTGGACGTACAGAACAAACAATAAAATTGGCTTCAGCTGTTCCATAAGGATGACAAATCTACTAAGGGAGTATGATTTATCTATGCTATTACCGTAGTACTCATGGTAAGACCTGGACCGATTTCTTTTTTTGTTTTGAGGTCCCTAGAAGCCAAAAACACCATCCGTTCAAATTCATATATATATATATTTATATACTTATATATATATACACATGTGTGTCCGTTAGCACGATAACTCGAGCAAAGATTATCCGATTTTGATGAAATTTGGTATAAACGTGTATAGTGTGGATAATCTGTATGAATTAAATTCACCACTATGAACGAGTATTTAATAATGATTTATTTACAAATGAATTAAGTTGTGTGTTGAATCATAACATAATCAAAACTGAACATTTTTTACAAAAACAAGCAACAGCTGTTACACAACAAATATGAAAACAAAGCATAGACCAAAGGCACACAGCTGTGGCTAAGTTGACGCCACATCAGCCCCCCGCAGAGACTGGAAGTCCAGGAAGCTTGAGCTTAACATTTCGTCCATACCGAGTTGTATAGCTTCTGAATGATGCCGGGTTTAGAGGGTTGAGGGATGTGTTTGGAGGTTGTATATTTTGAGGCTCTTTGATTGTTGGGAGATTACACTTTTCGGGTAACATATATGCAGGCTTCACCCTGTCTAAGCTCACTCGCACTTGTTTGCCATTCTGTGATATTACCACGGATTTTTCATCACGAGAAATTACAGGATATGGTCCGTTGTAGGGAGGCTGTAGAGCACGTTTCACATAGTCGTCTCTTAGGAAAATATCGGTGCACTTTCTAAGATCCTGAAATATAAAAGTTTTGGGTTTGACGTGGCGTGAAGCTTGGACAGGTTTGATTGAAGACATGTGTTGACGGAGTCGTACAACATAATCAGTAGGATCTTCATGCCTGGGTCCGTCAACAGGGAGATCAAACAATTCTCCTGGAAGTCTCAACTGTTGTCCGAAAACAATTTCTGCCGTTGATGCTTGAATATCCTCGCGGTACGCACTTCTTATACCTAGGAGGACAATCGGAAGAGCTTCCAGCCAGGATGAATCGTGATGACACATCAGTGAAGCTTTGAGCTGACGATGGAATCTCTCCACCAATCCATTTGCACAGGGATGGTAACTGCAAGTCCTGATTCTTTCAGAGCCGAAAGTTCTTCCAAGGGACTTGAAGAGGGATGATTCAAATTGGCGGCCTTGATCAGTAGTTATTCTTGAAGGAGCACCATAACGAGAAAACCAGCACGAGACTAGACCTTCAGCGACTTCTTCTGCAGTAATCCCCTTTAAAGGATGAACCTCAGGCCACCTAGTGTAACGATCTATGACTGTAAGACAGTATTTGTATGGTCCTGCTGGTGGTAAAGGTCCAATTATGTCAACATGGATGTGCTCAAAACGCGATGATGGCAAAGAAAATGTTCCTAGAGGAGTATGAACGTGTCGTGTTACCTTGCGACGTTGGCATCGCTCACAAGTACGAGCCCAGTTACAACAATCTTTTTGAATACCTACTTGGCCAGACAAATCGATCTGCTACAAGTTTTGCAGTAGCTTTAATGCCTGGGTGGCTGAGGTCATGTAGCGAATGAAATACCCTCTTCCGTAGTTCAATTGGAATATAAGGTCTTTGGGTCCCTGTGGAAGTGTCACAAAAGATGAATGAGTTTGTTCCAGGGATTTGGATCTTCTGTATTTTGAGAGACGAATTGTTGTTGTTTATGAGGTTGATGAGTTTGTCATCTGAGCTTTGTGCTTTGGCAATTGACTCAGGATCCAATGAACATGAAATAGCCTCTACACGTGATAACGCATCGGCAACAATGTTTTCTGAACCTCCGATGTGTTTTATGTCAGTAGAAAACTCGGATATGAATGAAAGCTGGCGTAGTTGAACAGGTGGAAGTTTCTCACGACGTTGATGAAAAGCAAAGATGAGTGGCTTATGATCCGTAAAAATGGTAAATGCCGTGGTTTCCAAAAAATGACGAAAATGCTGTACTGCTTCGTACACAGCAAGAAGTTCACGGTAGTACGCCGGCCAAGAGCTTTGCTTTGGTGAAAGTTTCTTAGAGAAGAATCCAAGAGGCTGCCAGGAATTTTCAACAAATTGTTGAAGGCAAGCTCCTACGCTAACGTCAGAGGCGTCTGTAAACAGTCCAAGAGGGGCGTCGTGTTTCGGATGAAATAGGAGTGTCACCGACGACAAACCAGACTTGCAAGCTTGAAACGCTTCCTCAGTTTCCGGGGTCCAAGGCACAGGAAGTGATCCTTTGCTATTTGCAC